AGTGTGGTAACAAGAACTAGCCGCTGCAGCACTTTAAACATAGGGCGAATAACCCTAACAATTTTAAAAAATTTTAAAATTTAGGACAGAATTTTAAAGGTTTTTAAAATTAGAACTAAAGATTTTATTATAGTGCTATTACAACAAAGTCAAAATTAACGTGTGTAAAATAAAATAATCTACAAACCAGACAGTTATCAACGAAGTAGAAGTTGATAATAACAAGGAAAGTGTTTTTAAATGTTAAATTTTGAGCTGGGTGCAGTGTGACAGCGACGTGAGTGTTATACACCTGATGATGGCCGTCTGAGGCCGAAACATGTAGTGTAGGGAGCAAATCAAAGACACAAAATATATTGTTTGCACTTGAGACGGAGTTTGTATCATTATATCATTTATCGTATGGAGTGCAACAGGATGCTTAAATATAATATTGAAGAATAAGCCAAGCAAAAACCAGCGTGAAATCTCTGCTTGCCACTTGCCTTCAGGCTTGTTTCTCGCTTGGTTTATTCTACAACCCTGAAGATTGAGGTGACGTGTACCTCCGAAAGGTCGGTAGAGTTTCGACGGACTACAAGACGTTAGATCCCAGAATAGAGAATTCTACACATATAACATGATTCCTTTGCACTGGCAGGAACAAATTTCCATTCAGCAGACATTTTTGAAGTCAACCATACCATGTTGAATTGAAAACACTGGTTCTTGTAGGCTAACCAAAGTTAAGGAACATCCACCTGGATGGGTGGCCGCTTGGGAACACCACGTTCCATTGACGGTGGCCGCGCGGTCTAACGTATCAACTTCTTCACCCGCTCGAGCGCTGGAATCGTGGGTTTGAATCCCATTTGAGGCAAGGATGTCTGTGTGCAGGTAGCGGCCTTGCGACGGGCTCATCACCCTTCCAAGGAGTCTTACCGATTGTGTAATAGATCAAGAAACTGAAAAAGTTGCCATGGTCCAACAAAGGGCTGTACAGCCAGGGATATTGCTGTTCTGCATGCCAATCGTATAATTCAACCATACGAACCGCCATGAAATGAAAATAATAGTGTCGTAATCCATAATATTATGAGCGTGGAGAGCTCATTCGGTATAGCGACGAGCTGGACGGTCGGGACTCGATTCTCGGCTGGGGTAAGAATTTTCTCTTTAATCCACAGCGTCCAGGACGAATCTGGGACCAAGCTGCCTCCTATCCAAGAGGTGCCGGGAGATCTTTCCCCAGGGGGAAAGCGGCCGGGGACTGAAGCTCACCAGTGAATACAGCTAGTGCCGAGGTCACGAATGGTGGAGCTATACCTCCATTCTTCTCCACATCTTAATGGCGTCGAGCTTAATTAATTAAGCAAAGGCACAAATGAACTTTTCTTTACCTTAAACCCATAATGTTTCATAGTCGATGTGCGCCATTCTAGTCAGCAGTTCATCATTTCAAACAGAAAATGAGTTTCGGATGAGGTTTGGGCCAGTGCAGGCTACACTACCTTGACCTGCGCAGTGGTTCACAGTTCTGTGGCTAAGATACATAGGAGCTGGGATATCGTAGTCTGTATAGGGACTGTGTACTGGCTGGACGACCAAGGGGTTGGAGTTCGAGTCCCGGTATGGTCAATAATTCTCTCTTCTCCACGTACTCGAGACCGGCTCTGGGGACCACTCAATCTCCTATCCAGTGGGTACCGTTAGGGTAAAAAATTCTTTCTTCTCAACGTACTCCAAACCGGCTCTGGGGCCCACCCAACCTCCTGTACAATGGGTACCGGTGGCTCTTTCCTTGAGGGTTAAGCGGCCGGGGCGTGAAGCCGACCACTCACCTCCAGTTAGTGCCGAGGTCAGGAAAATGTGGATCTATACAACCACTTCTCCATACACCATCATGGCGTAGCGATTAATTAGTTACGCACAGGGACAACTTTACCTTTTATCTATATCTAAGATACATAACCTCTAACGATCGGGCACAACGATCTTGTACTCAGCTGTCGATGTGACGGACACAGGCTAAATTATTTTCATGTCATATGGCTTCAGATTTATATTCCGGAGAAGCGAGGCTCAAATCCCGGCCGGATACCGAATATTCTAACAAATTATATTCGCAGTATGCCTCAGCCTCTCCTGGAGAAAGCCGGGTTAGTACCTCTGAACTGGTCTTAGTGTTCAAGCCTACGGATTGTGGGTATGAAAGGGTTGATGTGATAAGCCCATGCGATCTTTAAGCATCATTAAATATTTTATTATCATTTTTACTTTTTATGGAGCAACAAATTGCGAATGCCAGCCTGGAGGAAACTAATTTTCCGAGACTTTTCCAACCCTCAGGTGAATGTTTGGAAGCAAAATAACCTCTTGGATATCCATTATTCAATCATAAATAAATTTCTTTAATATTTTTCGATGTCCAAAGAAACATTTGAGACACACATGGTGAAAAGTTGTTTTCATGTTGCGCATTTAAAAAATATGAAGTTTAGTATGACGTAACATGAACAGCGGACTCCGCTTCGCCCAAATACAAATACTGTCACGTAGGGTGTGTGTGTGCGTGTGACTATAGACGGGCTTCTGAATTAGATATTTGATTTACTGACAACACTCGGAATTACACGCAGTTACAGCGCCACCGCTAATCTCCACACTTTACAAATCACCACAGCACCCGCTAAGCCTTTTCCAGTCTGCTGTGCCCTCACCAGCCGTTCCCTGGCAACGGCTCATAACTGGGGAGATTATTACCGTATTTATGCATGTATAGGCCGCGTGCGTGTATAGGTCGCAGCACAATTTTCAGACAGAAATTATAGAAAAAATAATTTTCTTGGAATATTATTTCAGGAGTATTACACCCTGTATTACTAATTATGAATATATATATTTTTTAAATGAAGTGTGATTTCGAATATTTCGAATATAAGCCGCACCCCAGTTTTCCTCTTGAATTTTTGGCAAAAAATGTGCGGCCTATACATGCGTAAATACGGTATTTATTATTCTTAATTGGGTGAGACTCAGACCACTTGGTACTGCGGCCACTGCTAGCCTATTGTACCAGCTCCAGATGATAGATGATGGTGATTGTGGAGCAATTGGTGGAATGAAAACTGGCAGGGAAACAGAACTACTCTGACAAAGCCTGCCCTAGTGCCACTTTTTCTACCATAAATCTCATACAACCTGACCTGGGTTCGAACCCGGGCCGCCGCAATGGGAAACCAGCGACTAACCGCCTGAGCCATGGCACGGCTTAAGAATGGAGATTCTTCAGTTTCCGCGCTTAAGTCCTCTCTGAACGTAGGCGCCCTTCCAACTGTCCCTTTTCTTCACAGATTCCCGTACAGAACTGATTCGGTTGCCCCAGTTGTCTTCCTTATAACCTCTCGGCAAGGCCCGCTCAGACAACACCGTTTGCTACAGTACCTTTATTGTTGCGTGCATAGTTGTTGCAGAGGGACCGTGTTTCCCGAGCCGTTGCCTAGAAACGAACGTTGTTTTAAAGCCGTTCGGTAGGAACGGGTGTTCCTCTGGGTCCACAGTTCTTGCTTTGACCAAATATGCCACAATATATATAGCTTGAGAAAAAAAAAAACCCTTTCTCATATTAAAGGTAAAAACACATTTATATTGGCGGTAAGTGTTGTCCTTCTTTTCTAGAAGAAGTAGGAATTTGAGTTCTTACTCGAAAAACACGCAACGTCACCATGCTCAGTTGTTCGTCCAGCCACTGTCCTTCAGCTAGATGTGCTTCTGTTGTTAACGCTGTCTGTACGTCTACAGATATCTTTAGAATTTTTTTTTTAAGTTCAAATAACCTCAACTGATTCAACCCTTTTCTCTTTTCTGTCTGTTTCTGCTCTTGTGTTTTTGTTGTTTTGTAGCCGTGCTCATTCTGAAAATTGTTCAGCTAGATGTGCTTCTGTTGTTAATGCTGTCTGTACGTCTACAGATATCTTTAGAATTTTTTTAAGTTCAAATAACCTCAACTGATTCAACCCTTTTCTCTTTTCTGTCTGTTTCTGCTCTTGTGTTTTTGTTGTTTTGTAGCCGTGCTCATTCTGAAAATTGCCCCTGGCTGTTGAATTGAGTAGCAGGTAAACAAAGTATCGCACTGAATTCAGTGTTGATGCCTAAAAGCAGTTGGCAGGCCTCGCACACTCTACGCGTATATTCACCCACAATATGAAATATTACACACGTACTCAAATTATATGGTGTGTCCAGGATCCGTTAGGACTCATTTTTTTAAATTTTGCCCTGCAATGCCAGCTGTTGGCGAGTTGTGGCGTTAAGATTCTTGAAGTTTCATCTGTGGCTGGCTGTAATTTCAAAGCGCAAGCATCGCTGCGTCATGTGTTCTGACCTTGAATGTAACAGTACTGTTCTGACGCTCGTCGGAAAATGGCGGTTGAACAGAGAGCCATCATCAAATTTTGTTTGAAGTTAGGCAAAGCAGCCGGAGAAGCATATGAAATGATGAAAAGTGTGTACGGTATTGATTGTTTGAGTCATCATAATCATCATCATCACTGGCACGACAGCCCTTTGTGAGCCATGGCCTTCTTCAGGATTGCTCGCCATTCTTCTCCATTCGATGCTACATTCCTCCAGTTCTTTACACTCAAAATTCTTATGTCCTGTCACACACATTCTTTCCATCTTAATCTTGGTCTTCCCACTCTCCTAATTCCTTCTGGTTTAGTATTAAGTATTTTCTTAGCTGTTCTATTCTCGCTGGCACGTATTGTGTGTCCAGCCCATTCAAGCCTTTTCACCTTTATAAATACAATAATGTCTGGTTCATTAAATAGTTTGTATAGCTCATGGTTATACCTCTTCCTCCATATTCCATTTTCTTCCACTGGTCCAAAGATATATCTCAGGATCCTCCTTTCAAATATACTTAACAGTCTTTCATCTGATCTTGACAGTGGCCAGGTCTCAGAAGCATAAGACAGAACTGATCTTATAAGAACTTTATACATCATAGTTTTGGTTTTCCTGGATATTAGTTGGGATTTCAGGTGTTTCCTAAGGCCATGGAGACATTTACAAGTATTTGCCGCAAGTACACGCTTTTTTATTTCATCACTGATGTCATTTTTACAGTTAACTTCTGATCCAAGGTAAGTAAAACTACATACAACCTCAAATATATATGAGTCAATTTCAATAGCTGCAGGTCCATTAGCACAGTCTTTCTTGGTTACCGGCATGTACTTTGTTTTATTTTGGTTAATTTGTAGATTCATCTTTCTTTTTTTTTTTTTTTTTTTTTCTTTTTTCTAATTAAAAAAAATTTCTCTCATAGTTTTTTTTTT